ATCGCATGCAAATGCAGTTTACAGCTTTCGAAAGAGTGAATCTTTACCTTTAATTTGCTTTTTTATTGAGCGTTGTACAATTTTTTTTCACCAAGTTATTCAACATTAAAGCAAAAATGGTACTTTTTGCTTCAATTTGGAAAATAGAGATTTCAAGCTGTAAAATGCTTTATTGAACATCTCAATACGATCATTTTTGACGAAGTTGCACTCGCTTGAATTTTGCCTATTTTTGGTGGGTAGAGTAAGTGATGCTTTAATTTTGTTGAGAAGTGTAAAACTTATTGAAAACATTTGGACACGATAAATAATCCATATTGAAAAAATTTAGATAATATATATTGACATAGTCCATTAGTTTTGAGGCTGATTTTTTTTCAGGATAATGCTAATAAAACGCTATCAACATATTAAGCTAATAAAGCCAGAGAAATATACATATAATTTTTAGCTAACAGTATATAAAATTGAAACAGTCTACAATAACTTATCTCTGTTTTGTGAAGCATACTTTTTTCAAGGCATCATGAATTCAAAAGAAGAGCAATAATAGCGCTGTGTGTTGCAAAATTTTGTTTAAAATCGGATGTTGCCAAATAGCAAACACTCAAAATGATACAAAGATTTATAAAAATAAAGCATCGATTTGAGCAAATATTTTTTTCGACGGGGTGCCATATTTTATGAACTGAGCGAATTTAAGACCAAACGTGATATAATTTAGCGCACTTTAAATATATTTAATTTATATTGTACAAAAATTGGCGCTTATAATTTCTGATTCTATTTTTAGTAGAAGAAAGAAGTGTTTGGCGCTGTTTTTTAATTAAAAAAAAAAAATTTGTACAGATAAAATCTTCACAATAACGGGAAATAAGAGAATAGATTAGTTACTATAATTAATAAATTATAGAATAAAGTAGATTGATTGTTGTATTATATGCTGCAATTGAATATTAGAAAAAGTTATGACAACTTAATGGTAGAAAATATTGATAGATATCTTATCAAACAAATCTCATTTATACCATAGACTGCATTAATATATGTATTTCCAATTTAATATAATATTAACATATAATACATATTCCACATAGTGTGTATATTTAATACAGGACATAAATAGCATAATTTTTCTCACAATGACCTTTTTGCAATACATTATCTCGTTCTACAATTAAGTTAGTATTATATATTAAATAATTGAACATTTTAGCAATTAAAATAAGTTTATTTTTTATTGAGTGTAATAAATATGCATCATATTTCTTTATTTTTACGATGTATAATATTTCTTCCACTTGATTATTAAATCGATATTTGATTCAAAGGCATGTATTAATTTTATGAATAGGAACAAATCTTACACGAAGTGGCGGAGCAGAACGAAGTATTACATCCGCTCGCAATGAAAGGTCTTTTAAATAGTCAACAGGCTCCAAGTAGAAATCGTGTATCAGAGAGGCTATCATCGCCTTCATTTCCAGCATTGCATATCGTTGACCTATAATATATAATATATATCGCAATCTGTTTATGTAAAAGTACAAAAAAAATTCCATAACCTACCGATGCAGTTGCGTGGTCCAGCGCTAAATGGTAAATACGAGTAAGGGTGACGATTTCGGATCCTCTCGGGCAAAAATCTATCTGGATCAAATACATCTGGATTTGGCCAAAAATTTGGGTCTTTGTTGGCTCCGTATAAAAACATGTACAAGATTGTACCAGCAGGTACTACATATGACTCTAAAAGCATATTATAAAACGAGATTTATCAATAAAAATTACAAGTTTGATTACAACTTTAAGCTCGGATATCTAATTGTAATTCAACACGGCAATAGATGCCCATATTTTGTGTAATAAGACAAAAATGAAGATCAATAGTTTCAATTTATTACATAACAATATTTTTGGAAAATAATGAATATTGTATTACACGTAGTATGTATATAAAACTTTTAAAAAATAATATAAATAAATGTTATAAATGAAAATTAAAAAAATTAAAAAATCTTTAAACTCTCATACCTTATATATTCACATTTAGTTCCAACATTTGTTGATTCATTAAGTAATTTTATTTAAAATTTAAATAATTTCAAAATAAGAAAAAATTTAATTTGATTCATACGTAATTTTACATCTTCTGCAGCAACGCGTGATATAAAATATGCGACGGGATACAAGCGCAATCCTTCCTTTATACATCTCTCCAGATATGTTAGCTGTTGTAATAACTTTATAGATAATTTCTCCCCATTTTCTTGTATAGCAATATTGACTTCATTCCTGACATGATCCTGTATCATTAATATTAATTAATTAATAATAATTTGTTATTATTTTAATTATGCTATAAAAATGCAAGTAAATTCGCTCAATTTCAAGAATCTTATAGTTTCTAATATTTCAATCAATCTGTTTAAGAAATGTCAACATAAAATACACTGAAATCTTAAAAAGTATTTAAAATACAACGCGCGGATGTATCCATTTTTTTGTATATCCATTTATTGGTATATAAAAGCAAAAATTGTACATTAAATACGTGCATATACAAATATGTAAAATAAAATTTTTAACTTTAATTTAATTGACATATTCTTAATAAATATTTTCCGGAAATACTCACATTAATTAATTTTTTTCTACATATGACCCATTTCATTGATAAATACCTGAATGTCCTTATGCTCAGCTAATAATGCCAAAATAAAGCATAGACTCGTCGATAAAGTATCATGACCCTATAATCACATTATATACATGGAAATATTAAATAATGTAGAAAAAAATCCAGAGATGTTACAAACATACCCCAAACATAAAAGTGTCGACTTCTTCTCTAATATCTGAATCAGTTATCAGACCTTCACGAGATGCCGATATTAAAAGATCCAACATTGCAAGTCGCTTTTTCCGTGCTATAATGAAGTATATAATGTCGGCATGATATTAATAGCCTAAATCTTTGCTGTTTTAATTATATTGATTAAAAATAAAACTGTATTTAGAATTAAAATTGTAAGATCGGAAGAGCACACGTCTGAACTCC